AAAAAAAATGCATAAAAATGTAAACCAGTGTCACTCTTCTCAGTAAATTGTTTTTATTTGAAAACTGTATTTTCCATAAACATTTTATTTATGTTAACACATAATGGATTTATTAGGTATTTTTAAGTGAGCAAATAAACATTTAAAAATTCTCAATTTAATTTCTAATACAGGAAATATTGGTAGATATAATCCATGTAATCAAAAATTCTTTGGGGGTCCTCAATACTTTTTTTTCTTTTTTATAGGGAGAGAGAGAGAAAAAAAGTACATGAGTGCACACCGGTGCAGGGACAAGGGAGAAGGGCAGAGGGAGAGGAAGAGTGAGAATCTCTTCACCTCCAGGCAGTATTGCTTATACTTACAGGGGAGCGCCTGCACTGAGTGAAGGACTTGCCTGTTTTGTTGGCATCATCCCAACTTCCCCATGACAAGTACATTTCTGCACAGAGAGATGCAGTGCCTTGCCTGGGTCACACAGCCAGGAGGGCGCCTCCTTACTCCCCAGCTCTGAGCTGGACTCGGCCCCTCCTCCCCACTCTGCCACCGTGATTGGCTCAGGGGTAGGCCAACCCAGGCCTGTGAGAGTCAGCTCCAGGACTTCTGCTGGAATTATTGGCTGGTAGACCGTTATATAACTGGTAGACCGTTAGCCTGCAGCTGCTGGAGGCCATCTAGCCACTGCTGAGAAAGAGCCTGGTTGAGAAGGAAGCCCACAAGAAGACAGCAAGAGATGGAGACACAGAGACAGATGTCTGGTGACTTTGAGCACCTGGATCCAGCCATACCTTATACCCTCAGCCTTTCAGTTACATGAACCGATAAATTCCATTTTTTTCCTAGTCATTTGTGTTTCTTCCTATACAACACAACACATTTTAACACAATCTATAATGTTGCACTATTTTAACATGTTTTTGAGTGGGGAATACTCCTTCCTTTCTCCCGCCCTGCCTCCTGCCAAATACTTCCCTGGGTCACTGCCCAGGTTAGAGAGCAATGTTGGGGACAGCTCCAGTCCCCATGTAGTATAGTTTCCCTGTCACCCCTTCCTTCAAAATCATAACTGCTCTTGTCAACATTTCCAACCAACGTTTCTTAAGGCCCAGCAGGGCCCTATTCTCTATCCCTGGCTGTCGCTGATGAACTCCAGGTACCGACTCCCTTGTCCTTCGTGTTATCACCTGTTTGTGCTCCCTACCTGTTCTCTGTCCCACCTGCATCCGGCTGGCTGATCTCTGCAGACTGCCCCACGTGGGTTCCCTCTCCCTCCAGATTCTGGTGTGGTTCAGGAGGTCGGAGGGAGGGAGAGAGGAAGGTTGGGATACTTCTGCTCCTCTCCTTCCCTGCTGTGGTTTTGGCTTCATTCCTACTGCGACCACAGCTCCTGTGGGGCAGCCTGCCCTGACTACTCCTGCTCTCCGTGGGTTCTGGAAACATGGTCCTCCCCTTGCCCCTGCAGGCCACAGGGTGGTAACGACGCCCCGCTGTCGCTCACCTTGGGGTGCCACACTATCTTGTGTGCTTCTCTTCACCGTGCCCTCTCTGTGATAAAAAGTCCCCTCATTTATCTCTCTCTCTCTTGCGGTGGGTGGCTGTTTCCTGCCAGGGCCTTAAGTAGTCACAGTATTAATACCATAGTGGAGACAGAAGCCAGTCTGGCTTACAGAATCATGGGAGACTTTAATAACCCCCTTAGGCCCATTGATACCAAAGGAAAATGATTATCTTTTTTTAAATTATTGTTACAGCAGCTACCCTTTCTGAGCACTCGCTGTGTGCTGCTCATGGAACTCAGAACTTTGCATGTTATCACATGGAATCCCCACAGTGATTTTATCAGGTAAGTTCTGCTATTATTCTCATTTTACAGATGAGGAAACTGAGATTCAGAGAAGCAAAGACACTTGCCAAGGATCACATAGCTAGTGAGTTGCTAAGCCAAGATGAAAAGTTCTGTATGACCTCAAAACTCAGGCTTTTCACTGCTACGCTATAGATTGTGTTGACAGAGTCCAGAATTGAATTTCCGTTTGAGATTTACATTCTACCTCCATCTTGCCCTCCCAGCAGCCTTCTCTACTCTCACTTGGCGTTGATTCGAAGCACAGCCTCCCCCCTGCCCCCTCCCCATTCTGGCTCCTGCACCTATGTGAGCCTCTCAAACCCAAGCCCAGAGCGGCCTCTGGCCAGAGACCGGTCTCCTTCTCCTGGCCCTTCCCCTCCTCTTGTGGCCACAGCTGGAACCGAGAACCAGACAAAGGGCCTGACTTGCCTTCTCAATGAGAGGTGCTGCTTAAATTAACCACAATAATAGAAATAGCTTGTGTTTATTGATCACTTGCAATGCCAAGTGCCCACACTAAACACATCACATGCATTGCTTCATTTTATCCTCACAAACAGCTTAGCAATATAGGTACTACAGTTATCCCATTTTACAGATGGGGAAACTGAGGCTCAGGGGCATTAGGTAACTTGTCCAAGGTCGGGTAAGCAGCCCATGGATGGCCTATGACTCCTGTCTTCCTAACATCATGTGCTTAACTTCTAGGAGATTCTACCACTGTGGAGACACAGTTTCTTAATGAGTCACAACCGAGGGAGACGTTCCTAGAGGTACAGTCAACAAGAATGGGCTGTCTCTCTTTATGTGGCCCATTAGGTCTTGTGGTGTGTTTGAGATCCTATCTAAAGGGCTTCGTTGAGAAGGTCAGGCACCAGGCTAAAATTAGTATTAACTCTCAAGCTCATTTTGAAAGATAACATGGATGCTTCTCTGTTCAGAGCTTGGGTATCTGCTTCCCTCTGACACAGGAACTCCTGTTGATTCTATATTTTAAATATCTCAGGAGATTTCTGGTTGAAGATAGTTGATTGGACACATGTGGTTAGTTCCTCTCCTTCCTGAATGATCAAGGATGATCTAAATATTTCAGGAGAACTTGCAACCTACACAAGAGACCAAGATAAGCAAAACAAAACAAAACGAAACAGAAAAAAATGACCCCAGAGAAAACAGATAATCCTGAAAACAGAAAAGGATGTTTATTTTTTTTTAAAGATTTTATTTATTTTTATTTGAGAGAGAGAGAATGAGAGACAGAGAGCACGAGAGGGAAGAGGGCAGAGGGAGAAGCAGACCC